ACGTCTTTTAGATATTCGACGTGGTTTCTACTTGGTCAGTTCTGTTACTTCTCGTATCAGTGATGTCAGTGATACAGAAGCCCCAACAACAAAGCGTCTGCAGCTCATCCGTTTGTGTAACCACAGGGCTTCATTTGTCGTGGTCTGCTGCCTCTCATCGTCCTACAGTGCCGGGATGCTCAATTTGCCGACTGTTGCCAACTAGACGCTGTGTCCTGTGTCTCACCTCCAGACTCTCGTTAATCTAAATTAAACATCGGTACCAACTTTCTACACGTACACATTGTAAATAAAATAACTCATTCTAAGCCAGTTGTCAAAATAAGATGATCAGAACCAGTCATTTCAACCATTTGGTCTCACTTCGGGGGGGGGTCCCTTTTAGTCCTAATCTGAGCAGCATGCAAGTTCGAGCCAACAAGAAGAAGAGGAGCAGCACAAATAAACACTCATCCATCTATCCCTTTTCTTTACTGGCTTTTTCCTCTGGTGTCCATATCCAGCAGTCACTGTGAGAGAGGAGGGGACATCCTGGACAGGTCTCAAGTCCATCACGGGGACAAACAATAGTCCACACTCTTAAATATTTAGGAACAATTTTAGAGTTGCCTAACATACATGTTTTTAAGTTAGTGGGGGGGGAACTGGAGTGCAATCATGTCGTGCACGGTGAAACATGTACACGTCACCAAAAAAGGCCCCAGACCAGGAAGAAAAACTGACATTCATACTGTGAAGCAACAGCATTAACCACTGCTCCACTGTGCCGCCACGCGTTGCGCATGTTTAATGTCTTTACACGTTGTAAAGATTTTTCCAATGTTTACAATAATCTGATTATTTTATACAAAGTTTTATTTTATTTTATTATTTAAACACGACTATTTGCATTACCTTTATAAGACAAGTTTACGGCTGATGAAGTGCAGACATATTCTACTTGTCCTTATAATAAATTCAGATGTTTTGAATTGTTCCATAATCTTTTTTTTTTTACTTTTTACAGCAGATTTGCTGTATTTTTGTTGAAATTAAAACCCATTTGATTAAAACCTTCCTTATTACTAACGAGACATCGATCAGTTAACCCCTGAAAGGTGCAGATGAATTTATGTAGCTTCATCTGTTACATTCAATATCAGTTTACTGTAAATAAATACATCTTGCATTTTATATACCGACATTAGTAGGAGACAATTTAGCACAGAATGTGACATTTCTTGTAGAAAAAAAACGCACATTTAAAATGTGCTTTATCTGGAGGCAAAAGCTGCTTTAAAGGAGAAAAACATTGAGTTTCAGATTTTCTTAGAGGTTTTGTTTTTTTAATCCGTCAAGAAACTGAGTTTACATCGAAACCTTAAACAATGCAAGACATTAAAAAATAGCCTAACATTTTAAATATTTGGTATTTTTCCTGGTATTTTTTTTTAAACAGGCTTGACAATAACGAATAGCAAACAAAACCATCGTACAAACAGGGAGACTGTTGCCATATAATCTTAAATACTCCATGTTTAGATCCAATGATTGATGGTTTTATTGTTTTAATAAGAACTGTTTTGTTTGTAGAGGGCATATGAATCTTGAATATTTTCTGATATTTTTTTTTTATTTTATTTTATGACAGGGCCTTTAAAAATTAGCTAACGCAGACTGCTTTATGAAAATCATGCTGGAGCAAAAAGAATCTTCATCTCTGCCTGATACTGGAAGTTATTTACACCCTGTTTAATTATCTGCTGACTTTCAGTTATCCATATTATCCCTTGCATGTATCCCAACAGCAGGAAACCCACCGATCCAGCTCCGTCAGCCTCATTAAAGCTCTTATTTATCCTTTAACAATAACTAATCTAAATTCTCTCGGGGCTGCTGAGGTTCCCTGCTTCCTGACAGCTATCAGCGCCTCGCAGGAGGCAGACAGGCAGACGAGGGGCTTGAGAGCCAGAACGTAAATCTGGAGTGGGAACAGGTTCCAACATGGAGGCAGTAAATCAAGGTTGGGAAAAACCAGCCCATTATCGTCCGAGAGTCACGGGTGAAATCACTGCGAGGCCTCGCTGACTCATGCATCACAGAGCTAAGGGAAGGTGGATTTAGAGAAAAGAGCAGAAACGCTACTGGGAGGTACTGGGAGGGGAAGAATATGTAGCAGCAGAATGAAGAGCTGAAATGTCCTTTGGTGAATGTCGTGCAGGATTCAGTCTCAGGCTGGAGAAAAATGTTTTGAAGCCATAAAAACAGGTGAAGTTGTCATCTAAAATCCTGACTGGCTGTAACTGTGTCTCTTCATTTTATTTATTAAAAGCTTGTGGACATTGTTTTGAATATTCATCCTCAGAAGATGAATGTTGGACAATTTTTTCTGCAGAAAACTTTTATTCTGCCAATATAAAGATGCGCATTAATAACCAACAATGCTCCTCATGCACCATGTGTTTAAAGCTGCAGATTCAGGTGAAATTAACACCATTTCCTGTCATTTAAGTCATACATTTAGCATTATGATAAATAAATAAAAAAAATTTACAAACTTCGAAATTTTGTAACCAAAGGGACATAAAATTGTTTATTCATGTTCTCCATACAAAATGTCTATTTTGGTTTAGGACCAATCTACTGCCACACTCAGATGTTTTGTTGTTGCTCAAAATTTTAATAAGACATTTTATGATTATTAGATCATAAAGAGTCAAACAGGAGCATTTTCTGACTTGGAAAATAAAATAAAACCTGACAAGTTTAAATGTGTACGTTTTAAAAACGCTTGCAGATATTTTACAGACAGAAATCTTCAGCAGAAATTAAATAAATGCATATAAGGTCTGCTGGGGATCAACACCGTTTCATTTTTGTAACTGTATAAAAACTGCACATCCTTTAGGAAAAAAAAACTAAAAAGTTTTAACCAAGTACAAAATCATTCATTGTACATGACTTAATGAATTTTTAAAAAAATATATCTATGCTAGGATATGTTAGCACTCCTATTGATGCTTTACAGTTTAATAGAATAAATTAATGGCATGTTTTTAATCCAAAATTACCAGGTTAAAAATGCTTCAATCATCCTCATGTTTATAAAACAAGAGGAATAACTGCACAACACTGGCAACAAAATTAATTTTTTTTCTCTTTTAATCTAGACAGAAACAAGTAATCTGGAAAATATTTAGAATTTTTCTGGTTCTTTAAAGGTACTCATCGCAAAATAGGAAATAAAACATAAAAAGAGTCATAATGAGCTGTATTAAACGGCGCAGTTTTTAAAAGTTTGTTTCCAGTTATCCTGATGTGCATTGCTGAAATGTGGGTCCACACTGAATGTAAACAAAGCACCTCCTGAATTTGTCAACAACTGATTGAGTCACATGACTGACCTACATTAAGCTGCGCGTAGTCCATGTAGGTCAACAAATATGGCGAGTGTAAAATCTTAGAGCAGACGTGAGAAACTGCTGCTAAAAACAAAATATTGTTTTCTGTTCGACCCATTTCATTCACTTTATTTCTGTACATAAACAAATACACATTGTGGTTTTTATCCAGTCATTAATTTTGCTTTCAAATTTTTTTATTTATGGACACAACCATTATTACGAAAGCAATTGGGTTAATTATTTTTGCTTTATAGCTGATATTTGTGACTTTGCAGTGAGTACCTTTAAATTATTTAAATAAACTGACACTTATGATGTTCCTAAAAGATCATTTGCAGTCAGTGTTTTAAAAAAAAAAAAAAAAAGAAACTCCCACATTTCTCAGAGCTGAGACACGAGCATAGTAACAAAGACCTGACTGCTGTTTTTCTTCAACACTTCACCAAACAGCGTTTCCTGCTGTTTCCGTTCGTATGCATTGAAATATAATAAATTAGAGGAACAGAGAAACGCTTTTCCCCTCAGAGTTCGTCCTGTCAACTAAATACTGCACATTCAATCAGCAGCCAAAGAGCTCAAACACAGAAGGAAAAGCCCCAGCACCCCCTACACCCCAACCCCAGATAGATTAAAAAAAAACTCTAATCTTTAAATTCCAGATTCACAGACCTTTTGTCTGCAACGCTGGGATTTGACATCAGCCCAAATGGGATGTAAATTGCACATATATGAGGTGAAGAAGAGCTCCATAGAGAAACATTGAAGAAGAAAAGAAATAAAACAAAGACATTCTTACAAATTACCTCTGATCTGAATTGATTAAACTGAAACTTTCTGGTTTAAGTGTTATTGATCATCTTAAGAGTGTTCAGATTATTGTGTCTTCTCAGCAGCTGGAGGCTGCTGATTTGGAAAAACTAAATAATGTGTATTGATTGGGAATAATTAAATACATGGTGAAAGTTTTTCCAGCACACGTAACATAGATCGGCCTGAATCTATGTGGGTTTATTAAAATAAATACAACATTTTCACTAAATATTCTCAGCTCACATCTCACCAAATGGCAGGTTTCTGAAGCAGATGAGAAGTTGACCAGCAGGGAGGAAACGTGGAGGGAAAATGAGTAAAAGCTTTTAATTATCAGTTTTAATCTGCCTGCAGCTGCAGAAAAGCTGAAAAACACAGAGCTCTGAAAGAAAAACCTCCCAGCACAAAGAGATGTGACATAAAACAACCTGCCATCATGTGACAGGGTGACAGAAAGGGTCTCAGGAGGCTCTCCTCTCCAGGGGCGCCCTTATCACTGCCTGCAGGACCCATGCCATTAACCTGGGTCTCTACAGTTAACTGTGTTCTGATTAGCTTTCTGATTTTACAGCACGGACATCGGATACAATCATTCAGGGTGCAACAGCAACAAAACAATCCACAAAAAGTTTTTAAAAAATACAGAAAAAATGAAATCTTCAAGGTTACTTTTTAAGATAATATGACCAATAAAAGTAGAAACCCACTGATATGAGCTTTTAAAATTATATTTTAGGAGCAGTTTGATGGGTAAATAATTATAATCGAGAAGGATAAATTAGAGAAAGTTTTTAAAATGCAGGTTACCTTCTTTGCAGAAGCGGCCCTTGTACTCCGTTTTGGAGCAGTCACAGACCGGTTGTCCATCCACCACCATGCACGTTCCACCGTTCTCACACGGGTTCATGGTGCACCAGCCTTCAGATTCCAGGGGCACCTTAAGGCTCCCCAGGAACAGGGGCTGAGAGTTGCCGTATTTGAGGTCTGTGATTGTTCCCCGGAAGGGTTGCATGTTTCGAACTGTAGGCAGTGTAAGTGCACCGTTGCGAATATCCTGAGGCACTCCACCCAGGAAAAGGTCGCTGACTATTTTCATGAACTGGCGCTGAGGCTGCACCTCGTCTGCTTTGGCCTGGCCGTCCAGTACCAGTACTGTGCGCAGGTTATACCTGCTCAATGTGGCGGCATGCCAGCTGCCATCGTCCACCCGTCTGTTGGACACAATCGTGGTCTCAGCACAGTCAATGCTAAAGCGCAGCTGCAGCCGACCCTCCACCACCGCCAGCTGCAGAAAGTCACAGTAGCCTCCGTCGTCGAAGTACAACAGCAGCGCCTCGGAGGCCTCCGTCTTGAACTGAAAGCTGAAGTCACCGCGGGTGCTGGCGTCCCAGCGGAGGTAGCGTGCCCACTGACCTGGCGTGCCTAAAAAATCCAGTCCCAGACATGAGCAGAGGAACAACTGCAGCCAAATAGAAAAACCTACAAGATCCATAGCTGCAAAGAACGGATTGTTCCAGGAAAGCGTCTGAGGGGAATTCAATCAGACTGAAGTATTTTGGCTGAGTTTCACAGTTTTATCCACAAAAATGTGTTGACATATATTCAGATAAATATTTCTTATAAAAATATGCTTTTAAAGGGAAAAGGTAGAAGGATAACAGTCGTCGTGGTTAACAGTCTTAATAAGGATAAATCGTCCAGATGGTGCAAGGCAGTGATCATATGGAGGAATGCCTTTTTTATAAAAACAGCTTGTTTTGATGCGTTTTGTTCTTTATTCTTGAGAACAAATCAAGTCAGTTTTTTTGGTGTAAGGTCTGATATAGTGGACTTCTCTAGTTAGTGAGAAGAGATGATTTTTCTCCTTCATTTTGTCCAGTGTGGCGTGGAGGAGAGAGTAGATCCACTGGTTTCTCTCGGTTTCATCACTGTCAGGAAATAAGAAAAAAAACAGTGTTAGAAACTGCATATTTACTTTAGATAAAAGCCTTTGGAGAATGTTCTCCTGCATTCTTAGTTGAAATAATAAAACACTGAATTATAGGTTACAATCATTTATTACTACATCATTTTGAAAATGGAAAGGTTTTAGGACAGATTATCAACAAACACTCTAAAATTCAGCAAATACAATAAAAGAGCCATGAAATTTTGAATTTGGAACAACGCCTAGCACACCTTCAATTAATGCACATCACCCACCCAGGGCTTAATTTGCAATCTGATTGATGCAGAAATGTAAATATTGGGCGGGGCAGGTGGAGTGGGGTAGGGCAGTCTGGAGCTCCTCCCCCAGAAAATTTTCAATAAAGTAAATGTGATTTTCTGTATTTTGGTGTATTTTAATGGGTTGTTGAGGCTCAATGTGATTTATCTGTTTAAATAAAAGTTGAATGAATGAATGAATGTTAAACATCTATGTTTACCTACATTTGTAAACACCGCTTCTGTCAATCATCATACCCCACCCTTCCCCTTACTTGACGGTTCCGAGCCCGACACTGTCCCTGCTGTTGTCAGACTCTACATGTGAAACCTCCAGGCGCCTCCTCCGTCTGCTCATGGCGGCTGCCTGTGGGCTCCTGCCCACGTATGATCGCCTGGTTAGCTCATTTGGCACTCACCCCCATCACTCTTTTAGGGGCGGAGCTTTTTTAAGGGTAGAAGTGGAAATGCTACTTGAAGTGGCAGCTCATATGCTCATAAGTGGCTGTTGTGTTTAAAATTAGTGTTTATGTAATTATTTTCAGTTTACATATCCAATGTGTTTTATTTGTTCAAGGCAGTCACATTTGTTCATAACCTTATTATTAGTACGCTTGAGAGTTGCCAGATCCAAGCAAACCGTTACCGAAACGCACCCTGTCAAAACAAGAGTTCCCAGATCCTGTTCTGGCAGGATCCGGCTCATATTAAGCCGTGCACATACCAGTTTTCATGTCGAGTCCAGGGTAGTTTTAAGTATAATACAGTTACAGTATCTTTTAGCACTTGGGGTATGTGTTGGGAATGACTCTCAGCGACCACCTCACCAAAATGTAGCTAATTATCTGTAAAACTGTCCGAGTTTTGTCCATTTTTTGTTTTTGATTAGCTGTGGCAACCATTTTATATTTGCTTGACTCTTAAATGTTTAAATTAGTTTTGTTGTGAATGAATACTGTATAAAATGAGAATTATTGCATATTGAGGTTTAGATGCTCAGCATTGCCAAACTATTTTTTACCTGAAGAAAGTAATTCAAAAAGTTAAACTTTCATCTATTAGTGTCATGAGTGATAAATCACACAATGTTTTATTTCTTGGAGCAAAATAAGAACAAAACACTGGAATGAGCTTCAGAGATAACAAGAACCACGAGGTATGCATTTGTTCTTCAAACAGAGATATTGGTCATATTTTCAGAGGGAATGAGCCGCCTGTGAAATAGCTGCATCCTTCCTCCTCCACAAAAGGTTGTTTTGGAGTTATCGGTCATCTGCTGAGTAAATTAGTCTCATTATTCTCATGGCAGAGCATGACTATCAGTCAGCCAGGCAGAATGCCTTTATCTGATGACCAGTCTGGAGAGACGGCTTTCTGCTGAATCTGGATGAATAATAAGATGCCCAGAAACACACCCAGGGAGCAAACTTACACCCAGAGGCAAAAAAAAAAAAATCTGTTTTTGTCTCAGCAGTACAGCTCGTCTCATGTTTCAGCAAAGTCACTAATTTCACCAAGAAGTTGCAACGTCCACCTCTTGTTACTAAAATTCTAAGAACTAAAACATCCTTTGAAGTCATTAGATTTGTGGTAGGAAAAAGTTAAATGCAAGTTGATTAAAACTCAAATACAAGGACACTGTAGGGTGGTGGAACCAGGAGTTTAGGGACAGTGAGAAAACTGACAATTACTAATCAAGACCAGGCAGGGAAGAAGATGAGAAAAAAAAAATCTACAAAATACAACCAGGAAGTAATGTGATGCAGAACCTCAGCTCCACCCGGAGACAACCAAAGAACAAAACGCCAAATAAAAACTAAACTAACAAGTGATGCATCAATGTCCCCATCACTGAGGGAGGTTAATACTGAGTGTTTGTAGTATTAAGAGTATTTAATGTTTTTTCTAGACTGGAATTGAACAGGGAATTAAGAAAGCCACAATGTTTATGGTTCAAGATAATCAAGCGGGTAGAAGTTCACCCGCTTCCCTTTGAATGTTATCAGCCATTAAATGGCCGTTATTAGTCGTTATCATCCCCATAGTTGTTTTCAGACTGTCCCTACCTCCTAGTAGGTTTAAAGGTACGTTCTTATCGCTGATAATAGGGTTAGGTGGTTAGGTTTAGTGCTCTGGGTGGAGTGTAAGGCTAGGTTTAGGAAAAAAAGGTTAAACAAAGCTAAAAATTTAAAAAAAAAACTTCCGGTTTTAGACGTGGGTGAAGCTGCATATCATCAGCGATAAGAATGTACCTTTAAACCTACTAGGAGGTGGAGTGACAGTCTGAATGCAACCTATGGGGGATGATAACTAATAATGTCCATTTAATGGCTGATAACATTCGAAGCCACTGCAAAATATTGCATATATAAATATATGGAGGCAGCCATCTTGGATTTTGATGTGGCAACCCAATTTTCACAATTAAATATTTAACCTTAAATGTAGCCACAAACCAAAATGGAAGTCGGTACATCAATTAGTTGAAGTTTTTACAACATGCACGGACAGATGGATGAACGGAGGGCATTTCCAAGTCCCCCTTTCCGCTCCGTGATTGGGGACAACTAAATGTGGAACACACTGCTTGACATAGTCTAAAGTTTTTATAGCCATCCAAGCATATTAAAGAAAATGGCTCAAGATGCAACACATCTTCAGTGTCCTTTAAATGAACACACAGAGCCAAAAACTGCTGTTAATTTATTACCACTAAAGGCTGAGTAGACATTGAAGAAACCGAGCTCTGACATGATAAACCACTAACTGGGTTAGTGGTGACTTAATATACAGCTCACATGGTGTTATTTATAGAGCAGCTGTCTCATGGGATCACCAGCTTGCATTTATTCCCAGATAACTGCTCAGCAGAAGAGACGGAGAAAACGCTTCTTTAAGGATTTCATGTTTCGACATTTCAGAGCAAATATATTTAAAAATGACAAAAACTTAAAGCGGTTTCCAAAAACAAAATGGAGCTCGAGTTCCTTAGCTCATTATCTATGGTCTCGGTTTGTGACCGATTTAGTCATTTCTTAACCTTTTGAGATTGTTTTAAGCAAAGAGTTAATGGGCATGAAAGAAAAACTTGGAATGTTTTATTTCTAACAAACCTTTTTGAAAATTTTGTGACAAGATTCTCAAACTTCTACACCAACTCTGCGCAACAAATTAAACCTTTTAACTTCAGAGTTCATGCTTAATCATCCAGGTACAAAATCCAGTAATTGTCAGTCAGGTCATCTGGACAGTTTCTTTTTGTGGAAAGACGTTTTGCCTTCTATCCAGAGGGCTTCATCAGTCTGAGGAGTCCCAAGTAAACTGGTTTCCCCACTAAGCAGTGAACTCCTTTAGTGGAGCAACCAGTTTGCTGGTGATAAGATGGTTTCTGGGAACTGTCCTGTCCCAGTTGACTCCTACCAGGCAGGAAGACACAGACAAAATGGTTCAAGACATCAAAGTTCATGCTCAATCATCCAGGTACAAAATCCAACAATGGTCAATCAGGTCATCTGGACAGTTACTGCTTAGTGGGGAAAACAGTTTACTTGGGACTCAGACTGATGAAGCCCTCTGGATAGAGGGCTAAATGTCTTTCCACAAAAAGAAACTGTCCAGGTGACCTGATTGACCAATATTAAACCCTTTAATTGTAAAAGATGGATTTTATCAACAGCTTTACAACCATCAGTGAATCAAAGAAACCTTCAGTTGTGTGGTTAATGAAATTAAAAAGTCATTAAGTGTCTAATTTGACAGATGTGCATAACTGCTGACACAAACAGCAGCAACAAGCTGTGAGGACATGCATAGGGATTTGAACCTTTTTTCCAGAAACTCTAAATCTCAGCTCAGTAGTATCTTCAGGAAAAATGTGAAAACCCAAAACTTATGGAACACCAAAAGGCTCAAAATTAAATAAAACATTTCGAAATAATTTTTAAAAAATCATTTTTTATCATTTATTTCATAATGGCGTTTTTCATAACGGCTTATTTATTTCATAATGCCTCTTTTCAGCAGAATGACTTCGGCTGTCAATCAACGTCAGTGCGTTGGCCCTTCACGCCCACTGGCTGATCCTTCACATCCATTAGTTTTCCTGAATACCTGCTCACTGGTACAGCTAGTGTTAATCTTGTTAAATTAAAAGAACTAACACAGCAAGTCTTCCCGTGCACGCTCCCATGGTACTGATCGATTTTTGGCGGTCCATCACTTTTTGTCACGACACCTGTATCTTGTGAGAACGTAATCCTCTCTGTTTGATCTGCTAAAGTTACCTGAGCTGAACCAAGTTCGTGCAACTCTGCCGTCCTTCATGACTGTTGACCTAGCAAGTTGCTGCTAGCAGCTAGGCTAGCTGTACCAGTGAGCCTTCAGGAAAACTATTGGATGTGAAGGATCAGCCAGTGG